CTTTTTTGCAGGTTATATCCTATTTTCTATATTTTTTTTTTTTTTTTTTAACATTCTGTTGAGCAGCAATGCCACGTAAACCGGTTTCTAGCCTTGTGAAGAATTCCTTCTTTAAGCTTCATTTTTGCTGGGGCTTGTTTAGTATTTCCTGTATCATTCTTAATGTTGATTAAAGCTAGGAAAGTGCATTGTGACTTGAAGCTGATTAAAAAATGCTCATCTGTCATTTGCCCTAAAATGCTAGTTATTTTCCAGACTTTTGGCCAGATGGGTTTGCTGATATGTTTGCAGTTTCCAAAGAGTTAAAATGTAAAACAAAGAAAAGTTTCTGAGATAATAATAGGGGTGTGTTACTAGTATTATAACCATCTGCAAGTTAGGTCAATTTTGAGGTATGTTTGGTTGTTTGTACTAGTAGAATTTTTTTCATCATTTCAGTCCTTGGGGGCCTGGTTAGCTCCTGGGCTTGATTCAGCCCTATGATATGCTTTGTGTGCTAAGGTTTTCCTGGTAGCTTATGTGAAAGATCTTTCTTTCTCTCTCACACACACGCACAAATTTACCATGTGTGCAAATTCTGACGTCGGAAAACCAGAAGCTGGTAGCTGCAGGAGCCACAAGAATGGGTGGGTGAAACCAACAAGGGATGGAGGTGGCAACAAGCAAGTTTCTCCTACTGTCCCCTCAGAAAAGGCTGGCGTAAGTTAAAGCTGCCAGAATCTGCTCTCATTAATGCTACATCTCTTTAGCCCACCTACTTGCTTCACCCCATCGCCTTGCTTTCTCTGGGACAAACCTGAATTTTCATTTATGGTGTTCTGCACCCTGCCACCATGGTGAGCAGACTCAAATTACTGTCATTTGAGCTGGTAGCCACTGGTGTTACAGCCAGTTTTGGTTTTATTTGATATTGCTCCTGCAGAAAAAACACACTTGGACCAATAAAGCTCCTTCTTTGTAAGTGGCTGCCTGCTGGAAGTCCCAGCCAGTTGTTTCTACACGTGGAAAGGGTGGGGGTAGGTTACCAATTTTTATGTTCTACGTTCTCGGTTTGCTGTTGTCTAAAAAAAAAAAAAAAAAAAAAAAAAAAAAAAAAAA